TTTCAAGCGATTGAATACTTAAGAAAAGAGTGCAAATTTAATTTTCATTTGCCTTTAATGCGATGAACGAAACTGTTTGGATGAATTTTTCATTACTGCCGCGGCACCCCTGGCATAGGCACCCAGTTTGAGAACCGCTGGGCTAGACTATATTTTACAGATCAGTCACCACTAGGTGAGTGATGTGGTCAATATAACACCAGCCACCTTGATTTCCCAGGATTTTACCCGATACCTATTTAAGGCAGAGTCACCTTGGCAGCCAGATTCATTAAAAAAGTCTTGTCTCTGTTCGAAATGGAATCCACGACCTTAAGTCCGCGTCCAGCCACTACATCACGGCGGATCCATAATGGGTTTGTGGAGTTTCAGAAAGTGGCTATTTTTTATGTTGAAGTCTGTATTTACAACCTGTCAGAGCTTTGTACAACAAGAAGTCTTGAACCTGAGGATTTAGGGCTTTATGGCCGGTGCAGCCACCACCTTGGACTGTGCAAGTCAGGACTGTTATTTTCCCCCCTGACTGAACACAAAGGTCAATCACCTCACCAGAGATTCAAACCCAGATCTCCTGCACAAGAGTCCCGCACTCTGATCCCCTGGCCAGGCACTTCTATGGTAACCAACTGTACACTGATGAAGTCTTCAAGTTTAATGGCCTTTGTGGAGTTTCATAAAATTATTATCATTTGGTGATTTCTTTAGTTTTTTAGTTTCCTTTGTAATCGATCCCAGCTACGGACATTGTCTTGTCTTGTGTTGGTTTCTACAGTGGTACCGGGAGCTGATCGTTCAGAAAGCAATGGCAAATTATTGAATGTAAAATTTGCCCAGAAGAACCACAACAGCCCGAAGAAAGCTGGGGTTGGTTCTGCAACGTCCTGTAAAGGATATGTAACGAACTTTCCTTCGTGAACAGCATACGTTGTGTACGCCCATATACCTTCCGTAGACAGTGTATGTTGTTAATATCTTCTGTGGACAATGTATGTGCTTCAGTTATGGACACCTTTGTTTCCTCTGTAGACTGCGTATGTTTAACATGCATTCATTTTATGTAAATAAAATATTGTTTGGGCACAGCAAATGAAACTGTTGTCAGTGCTAAATTTGTTAACCACCTATGGATGGGAATGGTGTAACAGTTCAAAACTACTTTACAAAAAAACACAGGACTGATCACCTTGTATATTACAGAAAACTGCGCCTGTGTGTGTGTTAGTCCATAGTGTCCTGTTCTTTACTGAAAAATAGTGGTGTACTGTTTTCTGTTTGGGAGCCGCCTCGGTGTAGGGACTAGATGTTTGCCTGCGGATATCTTCTTTGTTCACCGGCTTCAAGCTCCAGTGGAAAGTCCTGGTTGTTCGTCCATTTAGACTTTAGCTTTGTGCCAGGGCCTGAGTTTTGTGTGTACATCCATTTTACTGGCTTTTTTTGTGTACAGTAGGCTGTGCACTCTGACTTCGAAGGAAGCTCCCAAACAGTCGACTCCTACGACATACTTGTTGGGGAGGCAGTGGGTCTGTGTTGGTTTTCCCTCACAATGGGTACCCGGAACCCACATGGGAAGTTTGAGGGTTTAAATCCAGATAGTGCTAAGAGTATTTTTTTGTTTTGTTTGGCTGACCCCTCTCCACTCCCAATGATAATGATGTGTTATCAGTTGGAGAAAACATTCATACACAACAAAATTTGGCATTTGACATCTGAATAAATGTGTGTAATGTGTAAGAATAAAATCTGTGTACACAGTAAATAAACGCACTAACAGACAGACTCATGCACACCATATTCAGCAAGCAAGCAGCTTGTTTGTAACAAAAACATCATCTGGTTTACTGGGAGCATGAGCTTGTTCAGTGTTTCTCTTTTTAGCTTAGGAAAGGAAGATTGAGTGTAGATACCACCAGGCAATGAGCCAACAAATCCCTAACATATGAGTTGCACTTTTTTTGTGTGTGTGCAAGGCTATCAATGAATCCTCTTCCTCTTCACTCCCTCTTCTACCGCTGCTTCAGGTGTCGAGGGAGATATAAGGTTCTGCTTCCTGTTCTTCAAGCCACCTCAGCATAGGCACCGTGCAACTGTAGAATTTCTCTGATGTTATCATTCTATTTAGTTCTTGGTCCACCTCGTGGTCTATGTCTTTTTCCACTTTTGGTATATGCCTTGTATGGTAGGGCGTCACAAGGCATTTTCTCCATGTGGGAAAACAGTTTGGTTTGCTTTGTATATAATTTAGAAATGGTTCTGTGACTTTTTCTCTTATGATATCATTCCTGACTTGATCTCTTCTGGTCTCTTATGATATCATTCCTGACTTGATCTCTTCTGGTCTCTTATGATATCATTCCTGACTTGATCTCTTCTGGTCTCTTATGATATCATTCCTGACTTGATCTCTTCTGGTCTCTTATGATTTCATTCCTGACTTGATCTCTTCTTTTCTCTTATGATATCATTCCTGACTTGATCTCTTCTGGTCTCTTATGATTTCATTCCTGACTTGATCTCTTCTGGTCTCTTATGATTTCATTCCTGACTTGATCTCTTCTGGTCTCTTATGATATCATTCCTGACTTGATCTCTTCTGGTCTCTTATGATATCATTCCTGACTTGATCTCTTCTGGTCTCTTATGATATCATTCCTGACTTGATCTCTTCTGGTCTCTTATGATATCATTTCTGACTTGATCTCTTCTGGTCTCTTATGATTTCATTCCTGACTTGATCTCTTCTGGTCTCTTATGATATCATTTCTGACTTGATCTCTTCTGGTCTCTTATGATATCATTCCTGACTTGATCTCTTCTGGTCTCTTATGATTTTATTCCTGACTTGATCTCTTCTGGTCTCTTATGATATCATTCCTGACTTGATCTCTTCTGGTCTCTTATGATATCATTCCTGACTTGATCTCTTCTGGTCTCTTATGATATCATTCCTGACTTGATCTCTTCTGGTCTCTTATGATATCATTCCTGACTTGATCTCTTCTGGTCTCTTATGATATCATTCCTGACTTGATCTCTTCTGGTCTCTTATGATTTCATTCCTGACTTGATCTCTTCTGGTCTCTTATGATTTCATTCCTGACTTGATCTCTTCTGGTCTCTTATGATATCATTCCTGACTTGATCTCTTCTGGTCTCTTATGATTTCATTCCTGACTTGATCTCTTCTGGTCTCTTATGATATCATTCCTGACTTGATCTCTTCTGGTCTCTTATGATATCATTCCTGACTTGATCTTCTTCTGGTCTCTTATGATATCATTTCTGACTTGATCTCTTCTGGTCTCTTATGATTTCATTCCTGACTTGATCTCTTCTGGTCTCTTATGATATCATTCCTGACTTGATCTCTTCTGGTCTCTTATGATATCATTCCTGACTTGATCTCTTCTGGTCTCTTATGATATCATTCCTGACTTGATCTCTTCTGGTCTCTTATGATTTCATTCCTGACTTGATCTCTTCTGGTCTCTTATGATATCATTCCTGACTTGATCTCTTCTGGTCTCTTATGATATCATTCCTGACTTGATCTCTTCTGGTCTCTTATGATATCATTCCTGACTTGATCTCTTCTGGTCTCTTATGATATCATTCCTGACTTGATCTCTTCTGGTCTCTTATGATATCATTCCTGACTTGATCTCTTCTGGTCTCTTATGATTTCACCCGTGATTTTATCTCTACTGGTCCCAGCACAGAAAGATCAATAATACTAGATATATGTGAGCCGCTAACTGAATAGCCATGCTCTACAGCAGTGGTTCTCAACCTTACAAATGCTGCGACCCTTTAATACAGTTCCCTCATGTTGTGGCGACCCTTTAAATACAGTTCCTCATGTTGTGGCGACCCTTTAAATACAGTTCTTCATGTTGTGGCGACCCTTTATTACAGTTCCCTCGTGTTGTGGCGACCCTTTATTACAGTTCTTCATGTTGTGGTGACCCTTTAATACAGTTCCTCTTGTGGTGGTGACCCTTTATTACAGTTCTTCATGTTGTGGTGACCCTTTATTACAGTTCCCTCGTGTTGTGGCGACCCTTTATTACAGTTCTTCATGTTGTGGCAACCCTTTATTACAGTTTCCTCATGTGGTGGTGACACTTTAATATAGTTCTTCATGTTGTGGCGACCCTTTATTTCAGTTCTTCATGTTGTGGCAACCCTTTATTACAGTTTCCTCATGTGGTGGTGACACTTTAATATAGTTCTTCATGTTGTGGCGACCCTTTATTTCAGTTCTTCATGTTGTGGCAACCCTTTATTACAGTTTCCTCATGTGGTGGTGACACTTTAATATAGTTCTTCATGTTGTGGCGACCCTTTAATACAGTTCCTCACGTTGTTGCGACCCTTTAATACAGTTCCTCATTTTGTGGCAACCCCCAACCATACAATTATTTTTGTCGCTACTTCTTAACTTCAATGAATATGTGAAGGGGTCGTTCGACCCAAAAAAGGGTCGCGACTCATAGGTTGAGAACCACTGCTCCACAATATCAAAACACTGTCAGTTTCTCAACTCATTCTCTACTTAATCAATGCTATACAAGAGACAACACATGCTGAAGACCTCAAACATGTGGACAATGATGTCTCTTTAATTTGGGGGCAAACTCTAGGACAGAGGTTTTCAACCTTTTTTCAGGTGATGCTCCCCTGAACATTCTGACAGCTGCCTTATGCACTTCCTGTATTGCCAGGAATGCAGACCGTTTCCATTTTTCCCCCCAAAGGGACAGTGACTGGCCTTCTGTGTGGTTTTTAGTGGCACAGGAATGGAGCAACTGTGGGAGCGACCTGTCTGCTGTGAAGTTGTAACTGTGATCATCAACATACAAAATCTAACATTAATTATTAGCAAGTTGCGAAGACGAAGCCCTGATTAATGATTGTATAAACAGATAACAAATAGCACACTAACTCCTTCCTGATTCCATTTTTGGGTCGCACACACTCAAAAGCCAAACTGACAATCACTATTATTGTTTAGGCTTGACTGGCTGAGGAACTTTGAGGAAGCCAACACGACGCAGGTATCTCACAATGAAAGGTGTGGCGGTCAGAGTAGTGGCAATGCGCACCGGTGCGAACACTTTATGGACGGCATAAGCTACAACAAAAGTCCCAGTGCCAGCTGCCAGTTTGTTCTGTAGTAACGACTCTCCGATGCCCAGCTTCATTAGCAGCCCCACAACATCGATGCCACTGGAGGAGGACAAATAATTTACATAAATTAAGAAAGGACATTTAGGTTCTTTATTAATATCCTACCCCCAGGATGACGTCACAGGGTAGTCCAACATTTTAGAGGGTGGTAAGACTGGGTTTACTGGCTGTCGGATGCTTTTAACAACCCCAAAACATCTAGAACTGGCCCTAACCCCAACCCACCTACATCCCCCGACAGAGTACAGCCTAGGTCCCATGACTGCATGCAGCCTAGGTCCCACAACTGCATGCAGTCTATCTATCACCCCCTGAAATATTAGACTCCCATGACTTGTGGATTTCCCCTGTTTGGGGTAGGATAATAATGAAGCACCAAAATTTCTACTAGCACAAAAAGTTCCCGGTGTGAGATGGGACCCCATTGTAGGAAAAACAAGAATAGACCCACTGCCTCCCCAACATGCATGTCGTAAGAGTCGACTAAGTGGGAACTCTTTCACAGTCATAGTGCATCTGCCTGAGAGGTAAGGAACCAACAGTCTGCATACAAATCAGCCATATCTATAAAATGGATGTACACATAACACTCTGGACTAGTCCAGATGTGGTTGAACAACTAGAACGATCCACCAGAGGTAACAGCAGATGAACATAAAGAAGAACAACATAAAAAGTGGAGTGGATGATGTACTGCTACAGTCGGGCATTTAGCCAGACATTAAAGGTGCCCATATGCAGTGACAATGAATCCTCGACTGACTAACTAAGTCAGTAAAAGTAAAGGTCCCTTTACACGCCAGTGGTGCATAGGGCATTTGAGGTGAGACCATTTTATAGATCAATCGCCCCTTAATGAGTGATGTGGTCAACACCACTCTGGCCGCCTTTTTTGCTTTCATTGCAGAACCAAACCCCGCAGTCTTTGGCTGTTGTAGTTTTTCTAGGCAAATTTACACCCAGCCATTTGCCACTGCTTTCTGGGCGGTTGGCTTCTCGATACCATTGTTGAAACCAACACAAGGTGCGAGTCCCGCAAATTCGCAACTCCTAAGCCACAGATGCCAACTATCTTTATATATTTGAAACAAATTTATACAGAGAATTAAAAAAAAAAATGGTGCTTGTAACATTTCCCGGCCCAGAAAGAGATTGACTCTCCTTCCCAGTCATGCCTCGTCATGTCGCCGGGCCTGCCTTATGTTGCAGGGGTGTCACGCTTAGTCAGCGTGCAGCAACACACAGTATTTTACTCGTATAATATATTCCTTATTGTCAACGCTTTACCCGCCCTCTCTTTTTTCGTCTTCTCACTGCTAACTTGTCATTATTCTCACGTTGTGCTACCTACATGACAGTTTGGGAGTATGGAAACTGTCATATTTTTTCATTCCGTTATTCCTTGTCAGTGCCTTCTGTGTCTCAGGGTGAAGCCACCGCCAACAAACATAGAAATACAAAAACATCCCAGTTTCGATAGCCAAGAATCGTCACCCATGTGGCGCTTCCCCCTGCAGTACTCCTTACTTGAATGCAGACACCTCAAATAGACTCATAACAACACAACCTCCTACAAACAATAATTACGCCAATCGAACTCCGAACTAAGCCATATGATAACATCCCCACAATACAGGACACTATGAGGCATGAATGGGAAGGGAAGTCACTTATTTTCTGGGTCAAAAAACTTTACACAATAATTGAGCCAAAAAATGTATTAGTGGCCTGTATAAAATGTTGTTTTTAAAGGATTTTTTCCAGGAAGCCTCACTGGTTCATGAACCATCTGTCAGCATTGCTGGGGCGAAAGGGTTAAGAAAAGTAGATAATTCTAGCTAAAACTAACAAACCCATGATGAGTTATTTAGTGCTGAATTAGTAAATAGTTTAAAGAGAAAAAGATCCCTTTTCACCCCTTTAGGCATACTGGGTATATGGAAAGAGCACCCATATTTTTACAGACCATCAACACTAGGTGGGTAATGTGGTCAGCATTATGCCGGCCATCTTTACTTCCCCAGGACAGCCATCCTGGTATCCATTTAAGCCTGGGTCGACCTGCGACGCACCATACCATGATAAAAATCCACACTGCCAGCAGTGGGTTTCTATCGAGGTATTTTTGATCGCTGTACATTGGAATTACGAGTGGGACTCGCAGCGCCTAAGCCACGGATGCCGCAGGTAATAATTTAACATTTATAAAATAGTTTGATCTGAAATCTTCTTGTTTCTGAGCGTTCAGTGGCTGTAAACTCCAGCGGAAAGTTCTGGTTATTCATCTACTCCTGGATGCTAGCCTTGATCCAAAGAGTTTTGCATGCACATCCGTTCTACTTCTTCAGAGATCTCTCTGGCATGCGCTTACTCCACCATGGGTCATAAACTGGGATGTCATCTCAAGGTCTCTCAGGTTTCCCCAAACCTTAACTGTCAGGTCTACGGGGTGTGGCCACATGTTGCTCCGCAGCTCTGCCAATAAAGGACAGTCTTGCAAGACTTGTTTTTTGTAGTCTGCTCAGCATGAAGACACTGGAAGAGAGCTGTTTCGCTCATACCTAATTTATACCCGTTTTTACAGATCTGGCTTATGTGTAAGCAGACTGTTGGTTTAGTGATTAGTGATTAGAAAGGATTATCATTACAGCACTCCAGACAGATCCATAGCTGCTCCGATCACCTCCTGAAAATCTCCATAAGTGTGAAATGACTGATGATGCCTGTTCTGTGCCATACATCTCCCTGATGGTTTCCCCCTTTGAGCTTACTGTAAAGGCTCATGCACTTCGCTGGCCCCTGATTACTGACCCACCTGTGTAAACTATAGCATCACCTTCATCTGTGTTTTCTGTTGGTTTCTTGATTCTCAGGAAAATGCACTCCGACTTTGAAGGAAGCACCCCTCATTAGTCACCTCCTACGAAGTGCTTGTCAGGAGGGGTGGCGGGTCTATTCTTTGTTCTCCAAAATGGATCCCCCAAACCCACGTGGAAAAAGCAAAATGAGGATACACAAAACACACAGACATACAACCCACCTGGAAACTAGCAGGTAAAAGAATCCTAGTGACATCAATGAAATGGTGACATGGAAAACAATAACTGTACTCCCATACTCCTTCACAGCCCGCTGTAGTTTTTGCCTCTGTGTCAGCTGACTTCCTGAGCCCTGCTCCGGCCCGCCTGGGGGACTGCTGTCTCCAGACCCAGGATTCCTTGTGGATGTGGAACCACCAAGTGGATCCCTGTCTTCAGACCCAGGATTCCTTGTGGATGTGGAACCACCTGGTGGATCCCTGTCTCCAGATGCTGGATTTCTTGTGGATGTGGAATACTTCCTCTGCTGCCTGGATATTTTCTGGTAGGTCACTGTAGCTGCCTCACGAATCATTTTGTCCTGTTCGGCAAATACCTGAAATGTAGTGAACTGGTCACAGTTCAAGAATAAAAGTAAAAGTAAAGGACCCTTTTCCAAGCCCTTTAGGCATATAGGGCAAGACCTATATTTTTTAGACCAAACGGCACAAGATGGGTGATGAGGTCAGCATCATGCAGGCCACCTTTACTTCCCAGGACTGGACCCAGTACCCACTCAAGGCTGGGTTGACCTGGGAGTCAAGGATAATTCTAGAATACTCAGTTTGATTGACATAAAGAGATCTCTAACCAACTTTTCTGGAACAGTCATCACATCTGATACAACATTCCTTGCAGAGATTAGAACAGGAAACCACATGGTAAACAGTGGCTTTTAGCAAGATAACGATTTTAAAAAGATGTCAATTGCAGCGGGAAATAGAGGTGGACTTTTAATCAGGTGGCAGCTAGTACTATTAACAAGTCAACTCTTGGTTGGTTACTGAAGAAAGGGACGGAGCACATGTGGGAATGTCCCTAGCACAGTAATGTCAGTTCTTGACTGACACACTTATTAGTGATCTGTGTAAAACTGCTGTTTTTAAAAGATTTGTTCAGAGGATTCCCACTGGGTCATGACCCAGTTTTTAGCATTACCCGGGCAATGGGGTTAAAGTGCTACATAGAAGATACTGTTTTTTACATTTGGCCTAACTATTTAACTATCTATCTACTTACCTATCTACCTATCTGTCTGTATACACCTATCTCTCTCTGCCTCTCCCTTCTCTCTCTTTCTTTGCACTTGTTTCTTTTTGTGCATTTCTCTCTGCTTTCAGCTCTCTTCTCTTCCTCCCCCCTCTTACATCTGTCTGCCCTGTTACCCCAACTACACTAACCAAGCTCCCGAAGAAGACACTCCACAAACCTCAGCTAATGACTTCCTCCCCTCCCCCCTCTTACATCTGGCTGCCCTGTTACCCCAACTACACTAACCAAGCTCCCAAAGAAGACACTCCACAAACCTCAGCTAATGACTTCCTCCCCTCCCCCCTCTTACATCTGGCTGCCCTGTTACCCCAACTACACTAACCAAGCTCCTAAAGAAGACACTCCACAAACCTCAGCTAATGACTTCCTCCCGGCCTCAAAACTGTCCAGCTGCTGGGCACAGTCATGGAGCCCAAACCTGTGGCAGTTCTCCAGCCACAGCTTGAACCGGGCACAGTCAAGACCTGAAATACATCACAGCTTTAATAGGATTATCACAACTTTAATAAGATTATCTCTAAATTAATAGGATTATCACAACTTTAATAAGATTATTTCTAAATTAATAGGATTATCACAACTTTAATAAGATATCTCTAAATTAATAGGATTATCACAACTTTGATAAGATTATCTCTAAATTAATAGGGTTATCACAACTTTAATAAGATTATCTCTAAATTAATAGGAATATCACAACTTTAATAGGATTATCTCTAAATTAATAGGATTTTCACAACTTTAATAAGATTATCTCTAAATTAATAGGATTTTCACAACTTTATATATAATCAAACTGCTAGTGGAACACTCAGCACTGGCATTGCGCTTGCTGTCGGCATCTGTGGCTTAAGACGTTGCGAATGAGCTTCATAATGCCGGGGTGCCAGGTTCAATCCCAGCTCTGCAGCATTAGGAGATGGCCCACCAGTTCTGGGTCAAAGGAAACTGATCTTTTTTAATAGGCCTACAGGTGACATTGTTTTAGACTCAGGGTTTTTATGGCTGCAAGCAAAGGTGCATGGCAATGTTACCTGCTTGTAGGCAGAATTTTGCCAGCGTTACTGTAATAGACCCGACCTGGTGCTAACCAAATCACCCACCGAGTGCAGACTGGCCTATAAAATATAGATCTAGCCCTAAATGTGTAATATATATGAAGGTGGGTCCTTCACTTGACTTACTCTAACAGACCCTTTGTAAAGTGTACCGGCACCTTTGTTTTTTCTACAAGTAAAAGTGCTGGCTAGCTTTATATTTTTATGAACCCATCAGGGGGCTGGGTGGGCTTCAGGCATGGTGTCCGCTTCGAGTGCTAAAGGGTCCGGGTTCAATCCCCGGTAAGGGATGGGATTATTTCACGTGGACTTGGACTTCTAGCACTTCCCCCTGGTCTCTGGGTATTGAGATCGGACACTCGGGTGCATTGTTGTGCACGTAATAAAAATCCCTTGGCAGTTGGAAATCGAAAAAGTAGTCAAACGACACTGCCCAGGAAAAATTAAGTTAAAAATCTACTTAAAGTATTTCATAATCCTCACCAGTGCTACAGAGCCTGTGCACTGTGCTGAGCTTCTTCGGACTCGGACTTGAGTTAGAAAAAGAACGGAGCACTTATGGGTTACACCCGTGTGCTATGAGGTTGATCCGTTGTTCCAAACCTCAATGAACCTATCAGAGTTTGATGAGCCATGTAGCAGATATCATGCTGGTCACTCCTTTTGTTTTCTTGGTCTAGTTATGTTATGAGTTATGAGCCAGATTATCTTCACAGCACTCCGGACACATCCATGGGCGCTCAGATGCCCCTCTCAACATAGTCATCAGCGTCGTGCAGTTAATAGTACCAGTCCTATGTTGTTTTACAAGACTTTGTGTGTGTCATGTGTGATTCTCATGCTTGTGCTGATCTTTACTCCCAGTTCGCTAATTAGAAGTGATGTGGACACGTTGCTTCCAAAATCTTCAGAGCGTCCTATCTCTCTAAGGGCAATGACAATGTCTGCGTGATCCGTGAGCTGGCCATCTTCAATTAATGCAGTGCCTGCCAGTCTATCAGCTCTCTCATTACCAACAACGCCTGCATGCCCTGGGACGAATATGAAAGTAACTGCACACAGACGATAATTTAGCAATGGCTCAAGTCACTGTCTGCGTAACCAGCCTGCCTCGACCTGCCGGATCATACTCAAAGAAGCACTCAGCACACACACGCGGGAATAGTCCTGTGATCCCAGCCACATGAAAGCCTGTGTCACCGCCATCACCTCTTGGTCTAGACAAGGCTCAGGGTGGGCATCATATTTTTATGAACACTGTAGCAGATTTAATGTTGGCCTCATCTACTTCCCTGAGCATGTCCGTTAGGCCAAGGCGACCTGGGAGACCAGATCAACTTTTTTTTTTAAAAACCATCATGAAGGGGAGATAAAAACATGACCACCATGTTGGTATGGCATACAACATACCCTGGACTCCCTGAGGACAAGGCATATCTACATCCACATCCACAGAAGCTGCCACACCATCCTGAAGGCCCTGCACGTTACTGTACGTGTCATGTCTCTGTGAGGCTGCCTGATACTGCTCCGCGATTTCTGAAATCAGCTTCTCTTGTTCCACCATCACCTCAGAAAGAGTTTTTCTCCCAGACTGTATCCCTTGCAGCTGATTGTTGCAGTTAGCCAGGCCATATCTGAAAGAATTAAGGAGACAGTGAACAGTCTGACCGGATGTGACCATAAACAAGATTTACGCAAACATCACAGCAGCACAGAACAAGTCAGCATTTTCCGTATATGCACTGGACATGGCGTCTGTGGCTTAGGCGTTGCGAATGAGCTTTGTAATGCCAGGGTGCCGGGTTCGATCCCAGCTGCGGGCCTTGTGTTGGTTTTGACAGTGGTATCAAGAAGCTGACCATCCAAAAAGCAATGGCAAACTACTGGGCGTAAATTTTCCTAGAAAAACCACAACAGCCAAAAAATGCTAGGGGTTGGCTCTGCAACGTTCTGTACAGGATACGCAAGTAACTTATTATTTTTACTGAACATTGCAGATTCGACAAATGCTCATGTAAATTAGGTTTGCTAGTGTCAGTCAGTCAATCATTCAGTCAATAACGTCTTACAAATGGTCACTCACAAAAGCCACCACTGCACCCACAAAAGTAGACACCATTCTGAAGGTAATCTGCCACCTGCCATTTTGGTGCAGTTAACAACAACAAAAATCACATTTCACATGAAATCCAGAGCTTACAGTGTCACAACAGGCACTTTGCATTTCCAGTCCAGAAACGGTGAATCTGCATCAGCAAAACATAACTTTTCAGAGTATCAGCGGTCAGCCGGCTATCGGCCAGTTTGGCTGGGACTGTTTCATGCTTGGTACGGGGGAAAAAGGGGGGGGGGGGGGGCAAGCTATCAAATACTTGCTATAATTTACAGCATCACATATGTTAGTTCACATATGTTAGTTTCCATCTTCAGTGAATGCTGTTTCCAGATAGTTACACTTTTATTCCTGGAACTACTTCTTCGTGTTCTCTTGCTGTAAACTCTGATGGACAGTCCTAGTTGTTTATTCATTGCTGGACTGTCATTGTGTTCAAGATTTGAGAGTTGCGTACATATACGTTTAGCAGATCTGGTTTACCATTGTGCAGACTGTTGGTTCCTTGCCTCTCAGGCAGATGCCATCTAACTTTTAAAAAAAAACCCAGGTGTTTTCTATCTATATTGGCTAGGATCCCGGTTGGGAATCTGTTTCCAGTATGTGTAGCAAGACATGCAGACATGCTTGACTTTCTTCTTCGACTTCTTCTTTACGTTCACCAGTTGTTAATTCCGGTAGAAAGTTCTGGTGTACGTCCACCTCCAGACTTTTAAATCCACATACAGTCTTCCCAAAGTTTCTTTAATGCGTTTCCCTGTTTCATATTGACCTTGCTTGTTGTTGTTGTTATCAGTCCAGCGGCTCATGAGCTTTCACCCTTTGGCCCAATGCCATGTAGTGGAATTTGCATGTTTTCACAAGCTGTTCTTTTCCTCCGTACAAGGTGTTCCACTTGTCTGGTCTCGGAGGGAGTAGCGTTCTTCTTGTCTCACTGAGTTTTGGGCACTCAAAGAGATGGTGTTCAACAGTTTCGTAGGGGTAGTTACATAGCTGGCACTCTGGGGAGTGTTGTGGCTGTATTCTGTTTAGATGTCCATTGAGTGGAGTATGTTGCGTTCTAAGTCTGAAGATGGTGGCCTGGTCCCTTCTTGTTAGATGGTTAATGCTGTCATTAGGATCAGGGCCAGCCATATGTCTATAAACCTCTCACCCTGGTTGTTAAGACGCTCTCCTGTCTTGTTCATTAAGTTTTACAATTACAGTTTGTGTTTGTATTTAGTTGTTTCCCTGCCTTCAGCCATACTGGGCATATAAGGCTAGACCTGTATTTATATAGACCAATCTGCACTTGATGGGTAATGTGGTCAGCATCATGCCGGCTGCCTTTACTTCCCATGACTTTATCTGGTACCCACTCAAAGCTGGGTCCTTTCTGAAAAGCAACAGTCATTTCTGAAAAAAGTCCCATTCTGTTCAGACTCAAACCTACGACCTTTTTATGTTGTATTTAGTACTTCCTAACCAGCGTGAGTCCTGGTGCACTTGCACGTGTGGTTTACCACTTCTGCATCTCATCCAATATAAAACTTGATGTAGCAAACTCTCCTGGATCTGACAGAAAGAGTGACGAACAGTAAACATCCCAGTAAACAGAAGGATATTAAAACAAGCAACATGTTTCTCCTGTCTTGGACACCTAATAAAACATGATGGCAGAAGTTAAACAGAAATCAAAAACAGAATAGTAAAGTAAAGATATCTTTTTCCCCCTTTTAGGCACATCTGGCATATGGGAAGAGCATCCATACTTTTACAGACCAATAGGCACTAGGTGGGTAATGTGGTCAGCATTACGCCGGCTATCTTTACTTTCCCAGGACATACATCCTAGTACCAAATTTAGGCTGGGTCAACCTGGGACGAGCCAAACCATGATAAAAATCCACGCAGCCAGCAGTGAAAAACAGAATAGGAATAGCAAATGAAATATTCTGGAGACATTAATTTAAAGACATAATAATCTTTTAAAAACCATACTGGAGGGAAAGGTGGAGGGCAAGACAGCAAGATGTAGACAATGTTACAAGTGGGATGACAACATCAACAGATGGATAAACAGCAGTCTGAGAGGGTGTACAACCAAGACAAGAGACAGAGCGTGGTGGAGATCCATTGCAGCCAAACTTCAGTGTGGAGACAGCACCTGGTTAACTGACTGACTACTTACCTTCTACAGCTTTCCAGCCAGAGTTTAAAGGTGACGCAGTCATCCCCCTGGATACCTTGTGGACAGGCATCCTCACTCAGACTGATTGTTTGCTCAGGCTTTCGCTGGGTATCAGAAAACCAAGACAACTGGACTAGCTTGTTCTGTGTTGACTTCAGGCGGTGATTGTCACATGCTTTACTCAATCCTGGAGGGAAAACATAGCTTGCTGTACAATATGTTAGACTTTATCCCAAAGTGACCTGGTTAAAAAAAAAACTCCTTCAAATCTTCGAGCGCCAGAACCTGAAAGTTCTGGCATCTTGAGTTCCCCTTTCCCTCAATAATTGTAAGGACACTAAGCCTCCAGCCAATCCCCCTTGGATAAAGAGAGCTAAGTGCTCCACCCTCTTGGGAGCTGCTGCCATGGTGTTGCGGCTAGATACTCACTTGCAGATCTAAAGGTCATGGGTTCATGTCTTGACAGCGCCAGACTTTTTAAAAAGAAATTATCTTGGCTCCCAGAAATGTAGCTAGGAAGAAAAAAGGAAATAAAGATGTCCAAGAGAAACCCTAAAATGAACACTGTTGAGGAAGGCCAAAGGTGCAGAGCTGGATTCTATCCATGACACTGAAAGGATTGCACAGGATAGAATGGAACGGAATCAGAAACTGCGAGTCCTATGTTGAGATGAGTCAAGAATTGACATCATAGCACTCTGGGCATTCCTGTATGCAATCCGTCCCCCCTACTCAGCAGCCAGCGCAGAGTTCGAATACTAATAATGCCATCCAAAGTCTGGTTATATGTCCGTCTTGCCTTTCCTCTGTGCGTAGTGTGCCGGCCGAACCCTCTGGTCACACCCAGGTGCATCATTGTCTCCAGCCCACAAAAATCTAGTTTTTCTTCTGATTCGTTACTTGTTTCCAGAAGGTTCTGACAACATCTGCCTTCTCACGTATCAATTCACCACCCAGCGGTGCAGATCCAGCCAGTCTTTGCCTGTTCACTTCCCACCATGCCAGGATAGCTTGGAGAAAAGAAAAGATCCAAAGTATGCTCACCACCAGTGACCTTGCAAGTGAAGCTTACCACTCTGTTCGAAGCAATCCTGTCTTCACCTCTGCGAGTTTTAGATGACACATAATAACAGGATGATGATTCCTCCATTACCTAAAGCAAGTTTAAATCTTATAAACATGTCCTACAGTATGTGTCCATGGACCAAGAAGAAGAAAACCTACAACATCCTACATCAGCGACTCTTAACCTGCTGGTTGCGACCTGTTTTTTGGGTCGAATTATCCTTTCACAGGGGTCGCCAATGACCACAGAAACAACACATATTCAATGAAGTTATGAAATGTCGCCAAGACATGAGGGAACTGTATTCAAGGGTCACAGTATTTGGGCAGGTTGAGAACCCCTGTCCTACATGATCTGAGCATCCAGGCGAATTGGCTCATAAACAGCATCCTGTCCTGAAAGCTGAGGTGTTTTGGTCATGTTAAATGTCATGGTGGCCTGGATAGAATGGTGATTGAGGATACAGATACTGGAGAACGAGACAGTGGCACACCTCTGCGAAAGTGTGCATGAGTTACTGCACATGCATTGACTATGAAAGCATCCAGGGCTGGATAATTAGCTAGAGAAACTCTCAGGCGTGCCGTGACGAGAGCAACGTTCTGTAACAATACCTGCTCTTGGATGATGAGTTCATATACTATTTTTCAATTAGGAAAATAAAGTTAGTTCCATAAATATCCATTGCAGGACATCCACAAATTGTTGGCGGTTTGTGGTAGACTAGGCATTGTTATATTCAGCCGCTTGCCGTGGCTTTCTTAGCAGTTCAACGCTCATACTATTTTCGCAATCTGCCAGAAACAGTCTATTCTTCACTTACCTGAGGCATTTCTCGGCAACGGTCTACAATGAACCACAACAACAGCTGGGACATGGTTCGCGTCTGACCAAGCATTTTTCACAACATCGCTTCTTTGACGAACAGTCCTCAAATAAACTCTCTGTGTGGATCGTGCCGCTGTCTGCATTATCGTCGAATGTTTGCCAGCTATTCCATCAACACAATCTGGATTATAACAACTGCTGCTACACAACAGATACCAGACAATCAATCAAAGTTAGAGAGAAAGACAAGATGAGCGAGTTGTTAACAGACTCCGTATTATGGATATCGCAATACTAGGGGATCTGGCCGACGCTCAACACTCAGGGAAGGGTGAGACGGATATACATCAGTCGGTTGCAGGTACCATTGGAATTGGAACTAACAATGTAACTAACAATGATTGCTTGAAAGAAGCTGAAGAGGGGGACTGAGCACCTAAAGGAGTCTCCCGAGTGTTGTGATGTCGATTCTTAATTCAACATTATTTATGGGGACCACAGGGGACTGATATGTTTATTCAGACAGATAGGCCTACTATTACGTGGAGTCACCAAGTGGAAATAGAAAGTCAATCACAGAAATAAGCAAACTGACATTTATTGATTGGGGTAGAGGAAACAGGAGCAGAGGGATAAATGGGACGAATTGACACATGAACCACAGAAATATACTGAGACTGGTCTTTCTGCAGCAATGAACTACAAGGGCTCGGAATTCTGACAAAGGAGAAGATTAACCTATGTGCGTATTTAATTATCAAGAAAATGTCGTATTCCATGAAAACAGAAACAGTCAAATTAGAGGTTCTAGGAAGACTACGAATATAAAGAAAATTACTTTAAGAAATAACAAAATAGACAATGAAATATTTTGCTAACATAGGCTAATAGAATACTAATACGCTTTAAAAAAACCAAACTGTAGGTAAAGGTCGAGGAACGGGGGAGAAAGAGGTAGGCAACGATACAAATAGGAGGACAACATCAAAAGACAGGCGAATAGCAGTCTGGGAGAATATACAACCAAGACTAGAGACAGAGCGAGTTGGAGATCCACTGCAGGCAAACTTCATTGTGCAAACATGAACTAACTAATCGAATGAGTTGAGTCATCAAGTGGCAAGAGAAAGCCAATCACGCAAATTCATTGATATACACTGATTGGTTCTTATTAAAAGGGTAAGAGAGATGGGTGGCATGAAGTGAGAGATGAGCCACAGAGATGAATTGAGGAGGGTGATTTCTGCAGCAATGAACCTCAAAGGCTCGGAATGCTGAAGAAGAAGAAAATTAATTTATGAATGTATCCATTAATTGATTGTCAAAGACGGTCAGTGTCACATCAGCTTCTACTTCCGGGTCATCAAGGGGAAGAAATCGATAACCAAGATCCCGTCTGCTGGAATCAGACTGGGGACCTTGTAGCTTTCATTTTATTTAAATTATTATTTCATTTCCATCGTTAGATTTGTAAAAATGATCCTTCCATCGCGTATTTATCATAACCCAGACAGCTAACTATACAATGGCAGATGGGGATAACGGCGGCACTAGTAACGAAGTTTTCGATGCAGAAATGGACAATGACAACAGCGTGAACACGGTCAGTGAGGAGCTGTCTAGGTTCAGCTCCCAGTCGGACTCCCAAAGCTCTTCTTGTACAAGTATAACCAATCCATTCTACGACGGCCCGCCAAATATAAATGAAAGGAAGGATGAAGGTGTTCAGGGTAATCGTAGGACTTCTGGAAGTTCACATCGACGGAAGAACACGGCTGATGATCTAACAGCCGCAGGTTCCATGAGTCAGGGAAGCGCGGCTTCTAGTAGCAGGTCTGGTTCGGATGTGACGGAGGAGAAGATTCAACAACGTGTGATTATTTTTTGGGATCTGGGATATTTGGTGACTTGTGCGGGTCTTCTTCAGTTTGTCCAGTTGGTGAGTATTCATTTCATGCATGTGTAGAGCCATAAAGGTTGTGTGACTTGTTGATTTTATGTGATTATTATCAGATTATAAACAGCATGTTTATACTAACACTGTTGTCGTACTTTGATATTATTATATATTATCAAAGGCTAACCTACCTAAAAAGAGGGGGCTAAAATGTTACATAGAATCTGTTCTGCTGTATGGCAGCGAATCTTGGAATATCAGTGAACAAATTTGGAAGCAACAGAGATGTAGTTTCTGAGATAAATACCTTAGACGGCCAGAGTAACTAACAATGATTGCTTGAAAAAAGCTAATGAAAGTAGATCTCTATATACAACAATAAGAAAGAGACAAACACTGTTCTTAGGCCACAAAATGAGAAGAGAGACATTGGAGAATATGACAACTGGAAAGACCAGTGGAAAAAGGGGTAGAGGCAGACCAAGAGAGATGATGCTGGATGGACTGAAGCGATGGCATGGAGGGATATCATCAAAAGAGTTGTTCCAGGCAACCAGAGATCGTGATCTGTGGAGACGCATCAGCACCTACGCCAGTTGGTAGGCACATGATGATGATAAACCTACATAAAATGGACACCTGTGAAATGAGATGCCTGACGCGAGGCGTCGACTATAAGAGACAAAGTGAGAAATAATACTATGAGACAAACTGTAGGAACAACACTGCACCCAAATCATTGAGAAACAGAAGATCAGATGGTTAGAATACAGCTACAACAACTACCAACTCAGATGCTACACATGAAAATATCAGGCAAGAGGTGGCTTTAAGAGGATATGGACTGATAACATTAAAGATCTACTACATCGATATATAATGAAAGTAGCCATTTCTACCCATGAAGCAGTGGATCACAATCTGTTTCGCCTTTTGAGGCTTAAAAGTAAAAGGGGAAAATTGATGTTGCTGATGATGATGATGGTGTTGATGTTATGTTGTAACACTGCCTAGGGCTTTTTCTTGGGGAAAAATGTACCAGAACACTTATAGCCTGACCCAGTCGGTCAGACAATAGTTCACTTTGTTATCGTGGGGTGCCCCATTTATGTTTGTATTGTGTGACTGACCAGGGTTTTTGGGATTTGTACCTAAGGCACATACTTATTCACACTGAGGCTCTTTCACCCACCAGGTGTTAGTTGCTCAGTGTGCCCTCCTTGAGGGATTCACTTTCACTCACTCATTTAATCAGTCACTCACCCAATCACTCACTCACTCTCTACACGTGGGGCAGAGAAAGAACTGTACCTAAAAAAAAAAAGATGCTGGTACTGCATAGTTGTGTACCACTGTCTGGTCGTGTACCACTGTCTAGTTGTGTACCACTGTCTGGTTGTGTACCACTGTCTAGTTGTGTAGTTGTGTACCACTTTATACTTGTGTACCACTGTCTGGTTGTGTACCACTGTCTGGTTGTGTACCACTGTCTGGTTGTGTACCACTGTCTAGTTGTGTACCACTTTATACTTGTGTACCACTGTCTGGTTGTGTACCACTTTATACTTGTGTACCACTGTCTGGTTGTGTACCACTTTATACTTGTGTACCACTGTCTGGTTGTGTACCACTTTATACTTGTGTACCACTGTCTGGTTGTGTACCACTTTATACTTGTGTACCACTGTCTGGTTGTGTACCACTGTCTAGTTGTGTACCAATGTCTGGTTATGTACCACTGTCTAGTTATGTACCACTGTCTAGTTATGTACCACTGTCTGGTTGTGTACCACTGTCTGGTTATGTACCACTGTCTAGTTATGTACCACTGTCTGGTTGTGTACCACTGTCTGGTTATGTACCACTGTCTAGTTGTGTACCACTGTCTAGTTGTGTACCACTGTCTAGTTGTGTACCACTGTCTACTTGTGTGCCACTGTCTAGTTATGTACCACTGTCTACTTGTGTACCACTGTCTAGTTATGTACCACTGTCTAGCTATGTACCACTGTCTAGTTATGTACCACTGTCTAGTTATGTACCACTGTCTAGTTATGTACCACTGTCTAGTTATGTACCACTGTCTGGTTGTGTACCACTGTCTAGTTATGTACCACTGTCTAGTTATGTACCACTGTCTAGTTGTGTACCACTGTCTAGTTGTGTACCACTGTCTAGTTATGTACCACTGTCTAGTTGTGTACCACTGTCTAATTGTGTACCACTGTCTGGTTGTGTACCACTGTCTAGTTGTGTACCACTGTCTAGTTATGTACTACTGTCTAGTTGTGTACCACTGTCTGGTTGTGTACCACTGTCTACTAGTGTACCACTGTCTGGTTGTGTACCACTGTCTAGTTGTGTACCACTGTCTAGTTGTGTACCACTGTCTAGTTGTGTACCACTGTCTAATTGTGTACCACTGTCTAGTTATGTACCACTGTCTGGTTGTGTACCACTGTCTGGTTGTGTACCACTGTCTGGTTGTGTACCACTGTCTAGTTGTGTACCACTGTCTGGTTGTGTACCACTGTCTGGTTGTGTACCACTGTCTGGTTGTGTACCACTGTCTAGTTGTGTACCACTGTCTGGTTGTGTACCACTGTCTAGTTGTGTACCACTGTTTACTTGTGTACCACTGTCTAGTTGTGTACCACTGTCTAGTTGTGTACCACTATCTAGTTGTGTACCACTGTCTGGTTGTGTACCACTGTCTAGTTATGTACCACTGTCTGGTTGTGTACCACTGTCTAGTTGTGTACCACTGTCTGGTTGTGTACCACTGTCTAGTTGTGTACCACTGTCTGGTTGTGTACCACTGTCTAGTTGTGTACCACTGTTTACTTGTGTACCACTGTCTGGTTGTGTACCACTGTCTAGTTGTGTACCACTGTCTAGTTGTGTACCACTGTCTAGTTGTGTACCACTGTCTGGTTGTGTACCACTGTCTGGTTGTGTACCCCTGTCTGGTTGTGTACCACTGTCTAGTTGTGTACCACTGTCTAGTTGTGTACCACTGTCTAGTTGTGTACCACTGTCTAATTGTGTACCACTGTCTAGTTGTGTACCACTGTCTAGTTGTGTACCACTGTCTAATTGTGTACCACTGTCTAGTTGTGTACCACTGTCTGGTTGTGTACCACTGTCTGGTTATGTACCACTGTCTGGTTATGTACCACTGTCTAGTTATGTACCACTGTCTAGTTATGTACCACTGTCTGGTTGTGTACCACTGTCTGGTTATGTACCACTGTCTAGTTGTGTACCACTGTCTAGTTGTATACCACTGTCTAGTTGTGTACCACTGTCTACTTGTGTGCCACTGTCTAGTTATGTACCACTGTCTACTTGTGTACCACTGTCTAGTTATGTACCACTGTCTAGCTATGTACCACTGTCTAGTTATGTACCACTGTCTAGTTATGTACCACTGTCTAGTTATGTACCACTGTCTAGTTATGTACCACTGTCTGGTTGTGTACCACTGTCTAGTTATGTACCACTGTCTAGCTATGTACCACTGTCTAGTTATGTACCACTGTCTAGTTATGTACCACTGTCTAGTTGTGTACCACTGTCTAGTTATGTACCACTGTCTGGTTGTGTACCACTGTCTAGTTATGTACCACTGTCTAGTTATGTACCACTGTCTAGTTATGTACCACTGTCTAGTTGTGTACCACTGTCTAGTTATGTACCACTGTCTGGTTGTGTACCACTGTCTAGTTATGTACCACTGTCTAGTTATGTACCACTGTCTAGTTGTGTACCACTGTCTGGTTGTGTACCACTGTCTGGTTGTGTACCACTGTCTGGTTGTGTACCACTGTTTACTTGTGTACCACTGTCTAGTTGTGTACCACTGTCTAGTTGTGTACCACTGTCTAGTTGTGTACCACTGTCTAGTTATGTACCACTGTCTGGTTGTGTACCACTGTCTAGTTGTGTACCACTGTCTAGTTGTGTACCACTGTCTAGTTGTGTACCACTGTCTAGTTATGTACCACTGTCTAGTTGTGTACCACTGTCTAGTTGTGTACCACTGTCTAGTTGTGTACCACTGTCTAGTTGTGTACCACTGTTTACTTGTGTACCACTGTCTAGTTGTGTACCACTGTCTAGTTGTGTACCACTGTCTAGTTGTGTACCACTGTCTAGTTATGTACCACTGTCTAGTTGTGTACCACTGTCTAGTTGTGTACCACTGTCTGGTTGTGTACCACTGTTTACTTGTGTACCACTGTCTAGTTGTGTACCACTGTCTAGTTGTGTACCACTGTCTAGTTGTGTACCACTGTCTGGTTGTGTACCACTGTCTAGTTATGTACCACTGTCTGGTTGTGTACCACTGTCTAGTTGTGTACCACTGTCTAGTTGTGTACCACTGTCTGGTTGTGTACCACTGTCTAGTTGTGTACCACTGTTTACTTGTGTACCACTGTCTGGTTGTGTACCACTGTCTAGTTGTGTACCACTGTCTAGTTGTGTACCACTGTCTAGTTGTGTACCACTGTCTGGTTGTGTACCACTGTCTGGTTGTGTACCCCTGTCTGGTTGTGTACCACTGTCTAGTTGTGTACCACTGTCTAGTTGTGTACCACTGTCTAGTTGTGTACCACTGTCTAATTGTGTACCACTGTCTAGTTGTGTACCACTGTCTAGTTGTGTACCACTGTCTAATTGTGTACCACTGTCTAGTTGTGTACCACTGTCTAGTTGTGTACCACTGTCTAATTGTGTACCACTGTCTAGTTGTGTACCACTGTCTAGTTGTGTACCACTGTCTAATTGTGTACCACTGTCTAGTTGTGTACCACTGTCTGGTTGTGTACCACTGTCTGGTTATGTACCACTGTCTGGTTATGTACCACTGTCTAGTTATGTACCACTGTCTAGTTATGTACCACTGTCTGGTTGTGTACCACTGTCTGGTTATGTACCACTGTCTAGTTGTGTACCACTGTCTAGTTGTGTACCACTGTCTAGTTGTGTACCACTGTCTACTTGTGTGCCACTGTCTAGTTATGTACCACTGTCTACTTGTGTACCACTGTCTAGTTATGTACCACTGTCTAGCTATGTACCACTGTCTAGTTATGTACCACTGTCTAGTTATGTACCACTGTCTAGTTATGTACCACTGTCTAGTTATGTACCACTGTCTGGTTGTGTACCACTGTCTAGTTATGTACCACTGTCTAGTTATGTACCACTGTCTAGTTGTGTACCACTGTCTAGTTGTGTACCACTGTCTAGTTATGTACCACTGTCTAGTTGTGTACCACTGTCTAATTGTGTACCACTGTCTGGTTGTGTACCACTGTCTAGTTGTGTACCACTGTCTAGTTATGTACTACTGTCTAGTTGTGTACCACTGTCTGGTTGTGTACCACTGTCTACTAGTGTACCACTGTCTGGTTGTGTACCACTGTCTAGTTGTGTACCACTGTCTAGTTGTGTACCACTGTCTAGTTGTGTACCACTGTCTAATTGTGTACCACTGTCTAGTTATGTACCACTGTCTGGTTGTGTACCACTGTCTGGTTGTGTACCACTGTCTGGTTGTGTACCACTGTCTAGTTATGTACCACTGTCTGGTTGTGTACCACTGTCTAGTTATGTACCACTGTCTAGTTGTGTACCACTGTCTGGTTGTGTACCACTGTCTAGTTATGTACCACTGTCTAGTTGTGTACCACTGTCTGGTTGTGTACCACTGTCTAGTTGTGTACCACTGTCTGGTTGTGTACCACTGTCTAGTTGTGTACCACTGTCTAGTTGTGTACCACTGTCTAGTTGTGTACCACTGTCTGGTTGTGTACCACTGTCTAGTTGTGTACCACTGTCTGGGTGTGTACCACTGTCTAGTTGTGTACCACTGTCTGGTTGTGTACCACTGTCTAGTTGTGTACCACTGTTTACTTGTGTACCACTGTCTAGTTGTGTACCACTGTCTAGTTGTGTACCACTGTCTAGTTGTGTACCACTGTCTGGTTGTGTACCACTGTCTAGTTATGTACCACTGTCTGGTTGTGTACCACTGTCTAGTTGTGTACCACTGTCTAGTTGTGTACCACTGTCTAGTTGTGTACCACTGTCTAGTTATGTACCACTGTCTAGTTGTGTACCACTGTCTAGTTGTGTACCACTGTCTAGTTGTGTACCACTGTCTAGTTGTGTACCACTGTTTACTTGTGTACCACTGTCTAGTTGTGTACCACTGTCTAGTTGTGTACCACTGTCTAGTTGTGTACCACTGTCTAGTTATGTACCACTGTCTGGTTGTGTACCACTGTCTGGTTGTGTACCACTGTCTAGTTGTGTACCACTGTCTAGTTGTGTACCACTGTTTACTTGTGTACCACTGTCTGGTTGTGTACCACTGTCTGGTTGTGTACCACTGTCTGGTTGTGTACCACTGTCTAGTTGTGTACCACTGTTTACTTGTGTACCACTGTCTAGTTGTGTACCACTGTCTGGTTGTGTACCACTGTCTGGTTGTGTACCACTGTCTAGTTGTGTACCACTGTCTGGTTGTGTACCACTGTCTAGTTGTGTACCACTGTTTACTTGTGTACCACTGTCTGGTTGTGTACCACTTTATACTTGTGTACCACTGTCTGGTTGTGTACCACTGTCTGGTTGTGTACCCCTGTCTAGTTGTGTACCACTGTCTAGTTGTGTACCACTGTTTACTTGTGTACCACTGTTTACTTGTGTACCACTGTCTGGTTGTGTACCACTTTATACTTGTGTACCACTGTCTGGTTGTGTACCACTGTCTGGTTGTGTACCCCTGTCTGGTTGTGTACCACTGTCTGGTTGTGTACCACTTTATACTTGTGTACCACTGTCTGGTTGTGTACCACTGTCTGGTTGTGTACCACTGTCTGGTTGTGTACCACTGTCTGGTTGTGTACCACTGTCTGGTTGTGTACCACTGTCTGGTTGTGTACCACTGTCTAGTTGTGTACCACTGTCTAGTTGTGTACCACTGTCTACTTGTGTACCACTGTTTACTTGTGTACCACTGTCTGGTTGTGTACCACTGTCTGGTTGTGTACCACTGTCTGGTTGTGTACCACTGTCTACTTGTGTACCACTGTTTACTTGTGTACCACTGTCTGGTTGTGTACCACTGTCTACTTGTGTACCACTGTCTACTTGTGTACCACTGTCTGGTTGTGTACCACTGTCTGGTTGTGTACCACTGTCTGGTTGTGTACCACTGTCTGGTTGTGTACCACTGTCTGGTTGTGTACCACTGTCTACTTGTGTACCACTGTCTGGTTGTGTACCACTGTCTGGTTGTGTACCACTGTCTGGTTGTGTACCACTGTCTGGTTGTGTACCACTGTCTGGTTGTGTACCACTGTCTGGTTGTGTACCACTGTCTGGTTGTGTACCACTGTCTGGTTGTGTACCACTGTCTGGTTGTGTACCACTGTCTAGTTGTGTACCACTGTCTACTTGTGTACCACTGTCTACTTGTGTACCACTGTCTGGTTGTGTACCACTGTCTGGTTGTGTACCACTGTCTACTTGTGTACCACTGTCTACTTGTGTACCACTGTTTACTTGTGTACCACTGTCTGGTTGTGTACCACTGTCTGGTTGTGTACCACTGTCTGGTTGTGTACCACTGTCTACTTGTGTACCACTGTTTACTTGTGTACCACTGTCTGGTTGTGTACCACTGTCTACTTGTGTACCACTGTCTACTTGTGTACCACTGTCTACTTGTGTACCACTGTCTACTTGTGTACCACTGTCTACTTGTGTACCACTGTCTACTTGTGTACCACTGTCTACTTGTGTACCACTGTCTAGTTCTGTATCCCTATATGGTTCTGTCGTTGATCGAGGTTCCAATGTCACTGCAGGTGGGTTGCCCCCTTACGGCTTTGTTTTCCCCGCCAGTGAAGATCATAAAAATGTTTTTCACTGTTTCATTTCAATGAAAACTAGAGACAGTCTTGTCAGTCCTAGCCAGATCTTGAAGCTCGCTCATGCTAAATAAATACATAAGGCAGCCATCAGATGTTCCAACACCAGTGTCTAGTTTTGTAGAAACTTCCAAATAATAGCTTTTGGTTTAAATAACATCTCATGTATTTCATTTATATTGTTGTGTACTTTCTTTGGTTCTCTGTCCAGGTGATGACCTCTGCTACGTTGGTCTGTTTGGTCAGTGCTGGCAAATCTGACGGTGGTCTGCTCAACCTTCCACTCAGCTGGCACTTCCGTATCATGATTTTTGTCATTGTCCTGACGCTGCTGGTGACCTTGGCTATATTCCTGGGAAATTTGACCTCATTAATTACTGTCTTTGGATTTGAATGGACATTTTTTGTAAGTTAATTTTTCTGCTTTGGAACCATGCACCTGTTTAGGAGTAATGAAGATAAAGATGGAAAAAAGGGGGTTTTCACAGCACAAGGAAATTTGTCGAAATAAAGGGAAATAAAAATTAAACCAAACTTAAAATATTGAACTCTCGTCAAAGCAGAGATAACTAAAACAAATACTAATTAACTACAGACATTCGTTAACTGGTGCCCGTGCAGAAAAGAGGAAATTAAGTGGTATGATAGAATCACTAACGTAGAACTTTGGGAAAAACTAAACAATACTGCAAGAAATATAAACTCCAGAGGACTTCCTTTAATGGAAATATGATCCGCTGCAATAAGCTGTGATAATAGACAACATTCCGAGGGTAGATTGCTCTAGGGAACTACAGGGAAATATCAAGCAGTTATCACAAAAACAGAGGTTAGCATATGAGATGTTTATATATCTTACGACAGAATAATGGTATCCCAGTTCACTTTAAATGTCTGCACAGATAGACTACACAATTATTGTAATTGTTTGAAAGTAGACTTAAAATATTAAACTTAACAGTCTTTACTTCTAGTTTTGCAATATGGAGTCACCAAACATAATTGATAGGTCAAAGGAAAGGCAAGACGGACATATAACCAGATTGTGACATGTACCATTAATATTGGAACTACGCGCTGGTTGCTGAAGATGAGGACACTGCATGCCTGGGAATTCCCCAAGTGCTGTGATTTAAATTATTTACTCAACTCGCTTTCTGTCTCGTCGTCCTTTAACGTTTCCAGTCCATTTTCCGTTTGGGGCTATCCGTTTATTTATCTCCTTTCTAATTTTCGTAGCAATAAAAAATCCACTGCCGGCTTGCTAGGCCAGTCGCAGTTTAAGGGAAAATCTGACCAGATGGACCCCATCCCATCTGGCGAGCCAGAGCCTCGTTCGCCTGTGGCCTCACGGCCACAGTTTCCCGGTCTGCACCACTGGGAGGAGAGGTTGACTTATGTGTACTGTGGGTCATCGGCAGGCTACTAATTTTCACTTTTCACCTCTCCTAAGAGAAGCTAGCCGACCCCAACCCTGCTGGATGCAGAGCCAGGCACAGTCCACATCTTGCAGACTACCAGTGCCAGACATGGACAATCAACAAGACCCATGAAAGAAAAATAGAAGCCTGTGAAATGAAATGTCTAAGAAAAGCAGCGAATAAGACCAGACTAGACAGGATAAAGAACATAGACATTAGAAACACTGTCAAAACTACACCATGTTTAGACTACATAGAACATCAAAGAATGAAATGGTTTGGACATCTAACCAGGATGAAAAATGACCAAATAACATCACAAATTTTCAACCAAAGAAGCTCAGGATATAAGGCAAGAGGAAGACCAAGGAAACGGTGGATTGACGGGGTCTCCGAAACCTGCCAAAAGCATGGCCTCAGAACATCAGATGCTGCCCGCCTTGCTTATGACAGGAACTTGCATCTCCCCACAACGCTTAGCGGCATACGTGGAAGGAAAAAGTAAAGTAAGTAAAGTACTCAACTCGCTCAACATAATTAAAAGGCCTCCCCAAAAATCCTTTTTTTTTTTCAAATAGAAGAAAACAATATATTCAAATTATAACCCAGATGGGTTAAACAGAATATTGTCATCATCATCATCATAAACCACTTCTGCCATTAAGCTTTTTGGGAGGAATAATTTGCGATGATAATACATTTATTGTATTCTAATGTGGTAGTACATTCATGTGTACTATAACACTTAAAGAATCCCGAGTGACTTACTTTTAACAGGACATGGTCGTCTATGGATTGTTTGCCTTCCTGTACCTGGTGGGGTCATCCTTGGTTGCCAGCGCCTTCGACTTCTACCAAAAGATGAAGACCGATGTCTCCATTGAGACAATCAATCAGCTTGTCACTTCAGTGGTAGGTGTTGCCTTGTCTTGTTGTTCTTGTTCCTGTTGTTCTTTTAACAGAATGGAGAGAGCAGAAATATTTGCTTCAATAGTATCTTTATTGCTGGGGGGTAATGGTGGCTGGCATGACTTGTGAGGGGTTTCCGTGACGAAGTGGTCAAGCCGATTGCCCTGTGCTCTGAAGGTCGTGGGTTTGTTTCATAACTGTGCCATTCACTTCACGAGTGCAGTATCTGTGTGGTGCTCTCGGCAGGCGGCCAGCCGTTCTACGGAGAGAGACCAAGCCATGTGGGATACACACCCAGTGCAGTGAAGTCGATCCTCTCACCTTTAACCTTTCAGTGTTCTTCAACCGGTGGGGTGTGGGAAAAGACCAGGTGGGCTGCCAATACATTCCTGTTCAGTCGTGTAAAAGAGTAGGGTAGATAGGTTTTTTTCTTCCGGAATTTCAAATGGTAATAATTTTATCCGTAAAAATGAGGATATTCGTATAGGCAGCCTTTGGATTAGTAATCACTTCTTGCATTATATAAGATGTATGTAAGATTCTGAGATTCCAAATGGTGATAATTTTATCCGTGAAAATGAGAATATTTGTATAGGCAACCTTTGAATTAGTAACCCCTTGTTGGAATATATAAGCTCATGCACGCATGATCATCATGAAAAATAAATGCTGATCAGTTAGTTATCTTCTGGTGTCACCATTATATTCAGACATAAAATGCAATCATTATATGAATTTTGGATATGGGGAAAAAATATCCATCTCTTAGTTATTGTGTTATTTAGGAGCCGCGTTAGCACATTTGATAGGCGGCTCACTTTCAAATCCAGCTGTGACTCGCTGCAGCCACAGTCGGTGTTTAAAATCAGGTGGTTCCCAGGGTTCACCCAGCCTCTAGGAAATGGTTACCAGAGTGACACTCTGGGGTAAATGGAGGAACGTCGCTGTAGCTACAGTTACGTGCGGACGGTGACACAGGGGGACAGTTTCCTATCAGCTGTCTGTACTGGTGGCAGAGCACTTATGGTTTATAACCGTGTGCAATGACGCTGGTTTACATCTCCAGACTTCACCTTTTTTTAGCGCTATCAGATTGTTTTTCAACTCCCCATTAAGGGAATAGGCTTTTTCAGCCATGTCAGTAACTATAACCAAACAGAGAATTTGAATATATATTATTACAGTGCTTTGTCTATCAGAAACAATGCTTTATCCTGGTAAAGCGGATTTTCTAGCATTTGAGCGGGAGCAGTCGTTTGTAATTTTGTGACGTCTGATTCAATGCATTAACTGCTATCTACCTTTGGGTTTGCTCCTGTGTTTGATTAGATGTCGGACGGGCTGTGCAACATTGACCCTTATTCTGGTAGGCCGCAGGCCCACCTGTTTTTACCTGTTTTTTTGGGGGGGGGGAGAGGGGGGGCCTTGAGGCCGTAGAAACATTGTGTATATATATAACATCATCATCAGGTGCCTTGCCGACTGGTGTGGGCGATCTCATATATATATATATATACTTTCAATCAACTCTGACACAGATGATCCTCCATGCCATGATGTCAAACTATCCAGCATCTGTTTTCTCTGTCTCCTTGCGCCTCTCCTCCCTTCCAACATTCCAACTGTCAGTTTTCCCTTTCTCATCACATGACCACAGAATTTAGATTGTCTCCTTCAAAATTAGACAGTTTTGAAAATAAATGCCTTAGAAGAATACTAAATTTCAAATGGTCAGATTTCTGAACCAATACACAAATAAGGCAAGAATCCAGGCAAGAGTATGTGTCTAATTTTATACGAAAACGCCGCTGGAACTATGTCGGCCACGCCCTTAGAATGGATAAATCAAGACTTCCTTACCAAGCCCTCATTTGGACACCACAGGGGAAAAGATCTCGTGGAAGACCAAGGGAAACCCTACGTAGAACTATCATCAGGGAAGGCTCGCTCATGGGCCACTCAAACATCCAAGACCTACAACGGATTGCAACGGACCGCCGTGCATGGAGAGTCATGACCTCTGCCCTATGTGCCGCACTCGACACAAGAGGAAAGACTAACTAACTAACTTCTGATGTGGATTAATAAATATAAATCTGACTGAATTTGTTTTTTCCCCCACAGATCTTGGGTTACATCTGCATGCTGTTGAACGGAATAACATCTTTCATGAGTTACAGAAAGTGGAAAATCCAGTATCGATTGTATCAGAGAAGAAAACTCATAGAAGAGGATGAGATAGATCTTTGATCAGTCTCACCTCAGTACATTTTCTGTGTGACTTAGGGGGACAGAACGAATGTTTGTAAGTGATTTCAAACATTAGCCTCGTCTCAGAACATTTCTTCAGTGACTTAGGGGGACAGAACGAATGTTTGTAAGTGATTTCAAACATCAGCCTCGTCTCAGAACATTTCTTCAGTGACTTAGGGGGACAGAACGAATGTTTGTAAGTGCTTTCAAACATCAGCCTCATCTCAGAACATTTCTTCAGTGACTTAGGGGGACAGAACGAATGTTTGTGTTTTCAAACATCAGCCTCGTATCAGAACATTTCTTCAGTGACTTAAGGGGACAGAACAAATGTTTGTAAGTGCTTTCAAACATCAGCCTTGTCTCAGAACATTTCTTCTGTGACTTAGGGGGTCAGAACGAATGTTGATGAGTGGTTTCAAAAGGTGACTTGAACTCTTTCAGCTACAGATGATTTTGCTGCACTTGTACAAGAGGGGTGTTAACTAACATGAAAAAAAAAGGTATGAATATATTACTTTAAAATAGGCCTATCCCTGTGCAAGGTTTCTTTAGTGAGTTCAGACAAAAAGTATATGCTCTGTTAACAGACAGTGCGTTTCTTGATGCAATGAGTTGGTAGCTAATTCCATGTGGTACATCCTTTGGGACATACAAAAATAGACCAAAGCTACCAAAATGTGTGTTTGTGGTGGAAAGCTAGAAAAGTCTGTTGCGGCAATGGTAGCCACGGGTTGGGAGTGAAAAAAAATAAAGGGGGCTGTAGAAGCATAAAAATAAAATTAAAAAAAGAGAATTTTGAACAGTGGTTCTGTTGTGTGACAGAGTTACATGCTTCGGAGGTCCAGGGTAGTTGGTGTCCTTTGTATATTTTCTCCAGATATGCTAGTGTGTTGGGAAATAAGCAGGCAGATAGGCTTACTGGTTCTGCATCACTGGTGAATGGATGTATGAAAAGCTAGATGTTGTGGGGGTCCCTTGTGAGCAAGAAACGTGAGGAGCACAAATCGATCATTAAGCTCTGAGGAGAATAGCACTGCGAGGAGTTACCAGTGGGTCTAGCCGATGCTGAACACTCAAGGGAAACCCGAGATAAATGGAACTTTTTGCTTGCTGCTGAAGACGGTGACAGAACATTTATGTCGCATAACCTAGTCACAGCTATAACCTAAAGCTCCCCCTTCAGGGAATGTTGGTTGAATGTGACGATTGTTCATTTCTTTTTTTTTTTCCTAGCAAAGCCCCGACCTACCAACGTTTGGTGTATAAAAATATGAGCCCACTGCGATATTTCCTGTGGGGGCTAGATGCTTGTTTAGCAGCTCAGTGGTCTTGGGTAAGAATCCACTCTAAGTCAGATTTTTTGTTTTTGTTTTTTTCCAAAGCGACCATGGCTCTCAGGTCGACCCAGCATAAAATAGATACCAGGAAATGTCCAGTGAAGTAAAAGGCAGCCTGCATAATCATGACTACACATGACCCACCGAGTGTCAGTTGGTGTGACCACACATGACCCACTGAGTGTCAGTTGGTGTGACCACACATGACCCACTGAGTGTCAGTTGGTGTGACCACACATGACCCACTGAGTGTCAGTTGGTGTGACCACACATGACCCACTGAGTGTCAGTAGGTCTATGAAATATGAGCCTAGCATGATATATCTGATGTGCCACTAGCATAAAAAAGTATGTGTAACTTTTTTGTAATTTTTTATTATTTTGTTTTATGGTTTTCGTTTGTGACTTTTTTTTTTTAAACTGTGCTATATACTGAGTGTGTCAGCGGTATGCCAAAGGTATTGTACGTATACTTTTTACGATCTGTGGTTCTTTTCTGTTGCCTTGCTTGCCACTTGTTCCATGTTGTGATTTCCTACTTTTTGTTTTTTCAAATACACAACAGGCTGGTATTTATTAAGTTGCTATTTGCTAGCATTTAAGTCTGCTGAATTTGTGATGCATTTTATTATTGTGTATACCACTTTTTAAAATAATTCTGTATTATTGCTTTTTTTTTTTTGGTAATGTTTTTTCTTTAAAGTGTTTTAAAACTGTTTTTTAATACAATGTAATAATTTAAATTCAGCGGCGTCCGTGGCTAAGGCGTTGCGAGTCCGACTCGTAAGCCAGCATACCGCGATCGAAACCCACTGCAGGCTGCGAGGATTTTTGTCGTGGTATAAGAGGTCGCAGGCTGACCCAGCCTAAAATGGGTACCAGGATGGGCTGTCCTGGGAAAGTAAAGACAGCCGGCGTAATGCTGACGACATTACCAACAGAGTGCTGATGGTCTGTAAAAATATGGGACGCTCTGCCCATATGCCCGATGCGCCGAAAGGCGTGAAAAGGGAACTTTACTTTTACTTTTACTTAATAATTTAAATTGGAACCACACAAACAAAAATCTGGCACAATTAACAGTATTTATTGTTCAGACTGTTGTGAGATGTTTAATTTAGAAAACAAAAACAAAAATATGGACAGGACTAAGAAATCTTCTTTCAGGCATAGCACCACTGTAATAGACACTTTGTGTTGGGTACCGGCACCTAGTTTATACACTTTCTAGTTAGTACCGGCACCTTTTTTTCCCCTAGAAAACAAGCCCTCGATCAGAGACATTTAATAACAGGTGAGTAGGATTTTCTTCACCCTTTTTTGTAGGAAGATTATGTGTTAATGTGCTAGACAACGGTTTATGTGGTAGACTTACTGGTTAATGTGGTAGACTTACTGGTTAATGTGGTAGACTTACTGGTTAATGTGGTAGACTTACTGGTTAATGTGGTAGACTTACTGGTTAATGTGGTAGACTTACTGGTTAATGTGGTAGACTTACTGGTTAATGTGGTAGACTTACTGGTTAATGTGGTAGACTTACTGGTTAATGTGGTAGACTTACTGGTTAATGTGCTAGACTTACTGGTTAATGTGCTAGACAACGGTTAATGTGGTAGACTTACTGGTTAATGTGGTAGACTTACTGGTTAATGTGCTAGACTTACTGGTTAATGTGCTAGACAACGGTTAATGTGGTAGACTTACTGGTTAATGTGGTAGACTTACTGGTTAATGTGGTAGACTTACTGGTTAATGTGGTAGACTTACTGGTTAATGTGGTAGACTTACTGGTTAATGTGGTAGACTTACTGGTTAATGTGGTAGACTTACTGGTTAATGTGGTAGACTTAACAGTTAATGTGGTAGACTTAACAGTTAATGTGGTAGACTTACTGGTTAATGTGGTAGAGGGCAGACATAGTTGTTGCAAGATAGAAGGAAAATTTTATTGTAGCCAAGCAGAGGAAAGGAAGGCACAGATATAGACTGTTGGCAGACTTTGTTTTTACAGTAGAAGGAAGGTTTTGTTTTAAAGTACAGGGAAGGTTTTGTTTTAAATACAGGACTGTTATGTTATGTTATGACAATCATCGTCACTGCACATTGGCATTCTCATGCCTGCTGAGTCATCTTATGGAGAAGTGGCTTATAGTATGTTCTGTCTTTACCTCGAAGACTACATAGGCATGCTTCATCAAGCTAAACTCCTCAGTCATGCAATAGTGTTAGCATAGAGGAAAGACTTTGTTTTAAAGCAGAGGGAAGACTGTTATAGCAAAGCAGAGGAAAGAAATAATTGTAGCAAGACAGAGGGAAGACTTTGTTATAGCAAAGCAGAGGGAGGGAATAATTGTAGCAAGACAGAGAGAAGACTTTTTTGTAGCAAAGCAGAGGAAATGAATAATTGTAGCAAGACAGAGGGAAGACTTTGTTGTAGCAAAGCAGAGGAAATGAATAATTGTAGCAAGACAGAGGGAAGACTTTGTTGTAGCAAAGCAGAGGAAATGAATAATTGTAGCAAGACAGAGGGAAGACTTTGTTGTAGCAAAGCAGAGGAAAGGAATGACAGAGGTAAGACTTTGTTGTAGCAAAGCAGAGGAAATGAATAATTGTAGCAAGACAGAGGGAAGACTTTGTTGTAGCAAAGCAGAGGAAAGGAATGACAGAGGTAAGACTTTGTTGTAGCAAAGCAGAGGAAAGGAATGACAGAGGTAAGACTTTGTTGTAGCAAAGCAGAGGAAAGGAATGACAGAGGTAAGACTTTGTTGTAGCAAAGCAGAGGAAATGAATAATTGTAGCAAGACAGAGGGAAGACTTTGTTGTAGCAAAGCAGAGGAAAGGAATGACAGAGGTAAGACTTTGTTGTAGCAAAGCAGAGGAAAGGAATGACAGAGGTAAGACTTTGTGTGGTTTATCCGAGTTAATGGAAATGTCTAAGCATATGTTTATACGAGAAGATTTTTGAAAACCGTCTCCACTCCCATTCCTAAACTATCTACTCTAGAGTTGTTAGTTTTTTCTTTCATTTAAAAAATATAAATATAAAATGTGTGATCTATTGAGAAACAAAGAATGAAATAGTTTGGCCATCTAATGAGAATGAAACCAACTACGCCAGCAGCAAGAGAATACAACTGGAAAATCGAAACATCAAAAGGCAGGGGAAGACCCAGAAGAAAATGGATTGAAGCAGTCACTGACACCTTCAGACTGCATAAAATCACATCATATCAAGCGACTGAGCACGCCCGGGCTCGGCTGCCGATAGTCTGGTGAACTGTGATGCCTAGCGACATGAGCAGGTATTGACAAATGAAGAAGAAAATTTGTTTCCTCCAGGATTGCAGTCTTTAGAAAACATCACAAGGGTGAGAATCACACAGGTACAAATTCAGGAAACTCCCATTCAACCGTATAGCACAGCTATATTGGGACGCCACAAAACGTTTAGCACGTAACCTGTAGTTGACTGTTGGTGAGTTGTGTGTGAGCTGCTGTATTGTGGCCCAACAGAAGACTGTACAACCTCTAGAAGTAGTGGAATGGCAGAAAAAATAATAAAGTTTCTAGCGTAGCCATGAATAAATAACGCTTCTTTATTAATATCTTACCCCAAATGACGTCACGGGACAGTTCAACGTTTTAGAGGGTGGT